CATTTGTGCATTTTTAGTTTTGTAAGTTGATTTGAAAAATTAAAGTTTGATTCTTTGATAATAGAATTTTAACCTTGTGAGATTTGAGCCTATATTGATGGATGGAATACATCACTCCATTCCAATTTCTTTCTTGTGTGAATTTGCTCATGATTGCTAGATTACTCTAGGTTTTGCCTTAACTCTTTTTGAAGCTTCTTGTTCACATGCTCTATTGATATGATTTAGGCATTTAGGCATTTGTTTCTTAAACTACTAGCCAAATAGCCTACCTTACTTATTTTTTTCCCCTAGTTTCCCTCTTTGAGCCTTTATAACCCTTCCTTGATTTTAGCTCATTATAAGCCAAAAGTGAAAAACCATGATATCCCATAACCTTAGGGATTAAAGGAGCTTTGGAATTGTTTTGGGAATGGGTTCTTTATAAGTGTGGGGGTGCTTTTAGGGAATACTTCTATATTGTTGATATTGAGTTATTTGGCACTTTAAAAAAAGAGGAAAAGAAAAAAAAAAGAAATTGGAATGGAGTGATGTATTCCATCCATCAATATAGGCTCAAATCTCACAAGGTTAAAATTCTATTATCAAAGAATCAAACTTTATTTTTTCAAATCAACTTACAAAACTAAAAATGCACAAATGATTTACACTTCATGATTTTCAACCAATCAACAAAAATGATGCAACTTTCTAAATCCATACATTTACAAATCCAAAGAAAAAAAAATAAGATTTTTTTTCATTCTATTTTCTATTTCAAAACAACAAAATAGCAAAACATCAAAAACAGAAAACAAAGACAGAAAATAAAATAGAAACAGAATACAGAAGAAAAAAAATAGAATACAGAAACAGAAATAGAAAGCAAAAAATAGAAACAGAAATGAATACAAAAACAGTACAGAATCAGAAACAGAAAGCAGAAAACAGAAATAGAAAAGAATACAACAATTTTTTTTTTAACAAACAACTCCCCCCCACACTTGAAACACACATTGTCCTTAATGAAACAAATAATTCAATCAATAAAGACAATTGCAAATTATAGAAAAGGGGTAGAACTCCCTCAAGGTCCAAGAGTTGGCTCTTCTAATGAAATGTCCTCCACATTTTTGTCCTCCAACTTTGGACTTTGATGAAATTCCTTAAGTTGATGTCCATTCACTTCCTACAAAGTTCCTATAGGAAAAGCATTTAAAACTTTACAACTTGACATATTAATCATATAATTAGCCAAAAAAACAAATTAATATTTAAAACAATCAAATTTGCACCAATGTTAATGGTTTCTGACGATAATGAACAAAACGAGCCCATTGATATATATGCAAAAAAAGTAAAGATAGGAAAAATATAAATAGTGTAGAGATAAAGAAAAGTATATATGTGACTAATTATCATACCTTTAAAATTGTTTCAAAGCAATCATCAAAATAATCTTTAGGTATGCTTGAAAGTCCAGACCACCTATCTTAATCTATAGGAAATAATTTGCAATCAATTGCCAATGTTCCAAGAAATCCAGCAAGTAAGGCTTGTGCTTCACCAATTGCTTGGCCTTGCTCATCAAAATCCACAATGATGCGTAACTCCCTAGGTAAGCTATTGACTCCCCTTACTTTCACATTAATCTTTTTAATAGTTTCTTTAGAGTCTTTAATAATAAAAGAACTTAATAATAATAAAATTTGATAGTTTATTTTATCATAATTATAAATGAAAATACAATACTTATATACCTATTGCCTCAACATTCGAACATTGTGTAGACTTAGCCCAACATGAAGTCTAATAGTTTCATCTTCTTGTGAAACTTTAGAAGTTGATACATGATAAATTGGAATATTAATAGTTGGGACTTCAAGAGCTTGTGAGGAATCACTTGGTGGGGAATAAATTTGAGGATTCATTGCTAGAGTATAATGTGTTGGAGCTTCTGTCAGAGGTGTATCACATTGTGGTTGAGGTGCTGATTTTTGTGGATTTCTAAAATGCTTCACCTTTGGTATGGGTACACATTAAGAGAAAAATAAAATTAAACATTATATACTATCAAAATCAAAACAAGTTTAAAATAATTAATAAATGAAATAATTACAACATTTACAAGTCAAATTATTGCCTTTAAAGAAGTGCAGATATAAATAAATATAGTCAAACAAGTGTGAATTTCTTGCTATTTTAGGAGTCAAATTAACTTCAATCAATTATACTATCATTTAGATGGTTTGTAGCCAATTGTACGTATTGATCATCAAGCCTAGAAAATTGCTCAAGCTCTTGCTCTTGGTATGGCTCATTTTCATATGCATTTTCTTCTACTTATTCTCCCATGTCATATAAATCTCTTGGCTTTATATGTACAACAACACTCCATCCTCCATTGACTACATTATTTACATAGTACATCATTTGTGCTTGAGATGCTTCAATGTATGGTTCATGTTCTTCACGATTGCCAACATGAATCAATCTGTCAAAGTTAACACAATTAAAATTCTAGCAGTCCTTTTTATACACTCTATCTTGTGTAGTATTAGCCCATTTACATTTGAAAAGGATAACACTAAATCAAGCATAGTAGTTAATCTCAATGATATCTTCCAACTTTCCATAATATGGTAAGTCTGCTTGCCTTAAGTTACCATCAACACTCACTACTACAAAATTACTATTTTACATCATTACATCTACGCTACCAAATTCTCTGCACCACTCTTGTCTCTGATCTCAATATCAAATTCCTGAAGAAAAAGCATCCACCTGATCAATCTGGGTTTAGCATCAGGCTTCTTCAACAGGAATCTCAAAGCTGCATGGTCAGAAAACACAGTAATTTTGGAGCCAAGCAAATATGAACGAAATTTATCTAAAGCAAATACAATAGCTAAAAGCTCTTTCTCAGTGGTGGTGTAATTGACTTGAGCTGCATCCAATGTGCGAGAGGCATAAGCAATGACATGCGAAAGCCTCCCAACAATGTTATGTTCACGTTCACGCGGTGATATTATATCCAAGAGTACTACCCTGTACGTAGTCTATGTCTGGGGAGCATACTTGACAGGAGATAGACACAGGCGGTAGATAGGTCCCCCACTTCGATTCCAGCCCCGTTAGCATAGCATCTCCGATCCGAGATAAGGGATTACTCCGTTAGGTCTTTTCGGTCCGGAGCCGGCCGGTAATGGACCTTGCTTGTGGACCAGCTGCAGAGCTAACCCTTGTTCTATTGGTTTGGCGGTTGCTACCAAGACGATTTCTTTATGCCCATCAAAGGACCTCGAGATGCTAATCCACGAAAAACGATACGAGAAATTCGAAAGAACTCATATACGGAACGAGGGCGACCCGTGGAAATACATCGGTTTCTTACTCGTGCAAAGGAACTATTTCTTGGCAACTTGGACAACTTATAACGAAGTTTGTCCCGCATATCACTAGGAAGATCGGAATCTTTACAAAAGGCTTTATAAAGCTTTCGTCTCAATTCATATTTAGCCGCGAGCAATCTGCGTTTGTGATCTCGTATATTTCGCTTCTCCGACATCTCTTTCTTACTTTGTTTCTACCTCATCTTTTTGCAAAAAGCCGCTCCACGGTGGTAAAGTCTCATCTTGTGTGTTGGCCGAAGTGACAATAGTCACATTGAACCCTCGAATATGTTCGAAGATCTCGAAATGATCTTCCAGTTCCGGGGAGAATTCGCAAAACTCCGTTTCCATCGAGAATTGAATGGAGTTTTCCCGTATTTCGACCGGAGAATCTAACAGAGACATTACTGTCGAGATTCTGACCGAAAAATTAGACATTCCATGCCCTCGGAGAGTGCTTTGTCGTGCTAGGTCACTGACATATCCTTTGTCTTTATTTGACCCCAAGAATGGATTGGATCGAAACGACTTTCCTGTCGAACCCCTTTGTGTCTGTATGAATTTCTGACCGCGCGGAATCTCCATAGCCAATTTTCCATTTTTTATTATGAAATCATAGGGTGCCTTTGGTACTACTCTTATTTCACACGATCCAGGAACTTCCATAACGTTGGCGTGATTCAGTTTGAGCAACGGATCCTGACGTGATACATCTTCGTAATGAAAATGGAGTGGAAACATAGTGATGAGAAATCCAAATTCCCTCCATAAAGAGAGTCTTTCCTGCACGGAGCAGTGAATAACGAAAGTGAGATGTGCTTGGTTGTTGACCAACAGAAAGAATAAGATCTCGACGCCAGGGAGTTGAACCTGGAATCCAGGACGGAGCGGCGCACGCAACCTCGGTCATCTCGTCATTGGTAGATAGTTGTTTCCACCATCGGTAGCTCTCCGGTGTCCACGTTCACTGACACGAAAGACAGAAGGCGCATCACTTATGATATTTCTTTCGCTCTCCACTTGCTTAGATAGAGGCGAGAGTCGCGTAGCCTGTCTGTCCGTCACTCCAAACAAAGTAGTCGAGGAGTGTCTTAGGTAGCGGAGGCTTGATCCTGGGTAACAATCTCGCGTGGGTAAGAAGAAAGCGTCAAAGCTAGGCGCTTCATTCAAAACAAAAAGAAAGAAAAAGGCGCAGAACGTTGCAGGAGTTCCTGGAAGTCAGTCAACTCTTGCCGATAGTAGGGCAATCAATCCATCCTTCGTCTCGGGCACAAAATAGGAACTCTTGTACTGGAAAAGAGAAGGACGCAATGCCTTTCTTTTACTTACCCTTTTTTTCTCTTATGTATGATATTTATAGTGACCCAGTAATGCCCCATCAAAGAGCCTATTCGTCGTAAGCCCTTTTCACCCTCACAGCTAATTCGACGGGATGCGGATTCTCGAACAAGAACACATGTAGCTCCTTCTCAAAGACCGGATTCTCAAGCAGGGGTTTTTAAGCTTCTTCTATCATTCTCGGTATCAACCAATTACCTCCTCGTATTACGTATTCGAAAAAAAGGTAACCAGATCTCCTCACTGGAGATCTTTGCATTGGGCTCGCTCGGTTCGTCTGTTCATTGTAGGAAAGCGTTTATGGAGCAGGAACCTTTTTTTAGAGGTCAGCCCGCTTTCTTTCTCTGATCCCCAATATGAGTGAGACCAAGATGGCTGACTGGAGTGCCACAAATCATCAGGTCATGTCTTGGCTTCTAAATGCAATTTTTCCTAAAATTTCTACCAGTCTTATATTTAAGACATCGGCTAAACAGGTATGGTCTAGAGGAGCTAGAATCCTTAAAGGCTATTCCTGACCGATTCCCTTTCGTCTCTGCAAAGATGGACGAGAAGAAGGATAAGAATTGGTTCACCCGGTTGGACTATTCCCATGATAGGGAATCTTCTTCTTCGAATTAGCCTCAAAGGCAAGGTCTTCTGAGCTCGTCTATTGTGTTTTTTACATGGATAAGCCTCTTCTCTTATGGGCTGGCCGTCCTTCTGTTTCGAAGAATGGAATTTGAGTTAGGAGAAGAAGACCGGGGACAAAGCCTTCCAAGAACAGTTCTTATACCCTTTTTTCGTTTCGAAATTACCATCAAGAGCAAAGCGTGGCTTCTCTCCCCGGGAAATAGCCATATGTCTTTGCCTTGTCCTATAAAGAAAGACCAGTCCCCCTCCCTCTAATCTAACCCTAACTCGCTCGCCCAGGCCTTTGCCTGCACAATAAGAGAATGAGGGTTTCAAAGGCTAAGTTTTTAATCCAGAGGGTTTGCTTTAGGAAATAAACGAACTTTTGGAGACACTACTTTCTAAGCTAAGCTCTTCTTTCGCTATCTCCGAAAAAGCACTTCTGGGGCCACGCCTTTATCGATGCAACTGTCAAGTAAAAGATGCACTAAAGCAGGATTGGAATCGGAGATCTAGACTCAGGGAGTAAAGTAGTTCTACGACTTGCATGTGTTAAGCAAAATTTCCGAGTTAGATTAGCTCTATCCAATAGGAAACAAGTCTATACTGCTAGCTTCCAATCATAGCTTCTACTTGTCTAGCTGACTGATAGAATAAGCAACTCATTCTATAGGATAGAGTTGGTGAAAGAGAAGAGATAGGCATAGCTGTTGACTTACAGAAGTTGCTAGTCGATCTCTCTCTCTTGCCTAGCCGGGGATCTTCTAGGATGCCGATTGCCACAGCGCTAACGGAGACAGACAGCCGAGTGAAAAGGGGATGAACGAAGATTAACTGATTGAGCTACAACCACAACTGCAATAGGCTATTATAGACCTTAGGCTGGAAACAACGGAGCTGCTAGTAAGATGTTGATTGTTTATCCCCTGCGGGAAGATTTATCCCATACAGAACTACACTCAGGAAAGGCAGTCAAAGCTCTAACGGTCGTGCTACATACCGGGTGACTCTTGTCCTTTGGGTTGCTTGTTTTTGGCTTGATCTCATCAATAGGAAAGGCTACCCCAGTTACAGTTCCCGGGAATTCATTCCTTCTCTAGCTGAATCAGGTAATGTTCACAAAACAATAAGAACAAACCCTAGCTCAACAGCGCTAGAGACGTCGGTAGTCTCAAATCCGTCCCTTCCCCCACTCTCTATTGGCTCCTTTCGTAGGAATAGAGTAGTCTAATTGCGTCTATCACTGAAGGATGGAACAAGATGATGAAGAAGGCGGCGAAGGTATGGAGGGGAAGAGAACAAGGAGATCTCTGAAAAGAGAAGAGGGAGAAGTAGTAGAAATGTTGAAGAGGAGACAACCCGCTCTTGAAAGACTATGCGCGTCGCGTGCTCGATCTAGCAATTGTTTTGATGAACTGTCATTAAAAAAGAAAGAAGAGAAAGAAATGGAGGGTGGCGCCTACATAACAGGTAGCTTGCTTACCAAGCCATCCTGGCTTTTCGCTCCTCCAGTTCGATTTTTATTTATTATTATTGACTTGACTTATTATTAAAAAAACTACTAACTATCAAAATGAAAGACGATCGATTATCTACCCAAGAAGATAGAGAGTCCCACATACGAGAAAAGGTCACAAATAGAGTTGAACCAAGTAACATTGCAAAGGCATAATGATAGTAGGGTCGGGATATCCCCGCCCTCCGAACCGGACGTGAAGGTCTCCCCTCATCCGGCTCTCTGCAGGGGAATCTCCACTCACTGCTTCCCCTAATATCCTCCCTTTACCACATCATGGGGGTTTACAGGAGATCCCAGAGGCTCGCTCGGAAAGGCTGCTATACCATACCTTTTGACTCCACTCTACTCTAGTAGTCACTGGACTCACTATAGTAGTCCGTCCGGCTGCTCTTGCTGAAATCATTACTCTTCATTCTCCCGTGCTCTAGCAATTGCGCTCCCTAGACCACTACCATGTAGTTAGGTAGAGACAATCAATCCGTAGTGACGGGAATCTGGGGATCCCTATCCATATAAAAAATGAATAATATATCTATAGAGAAGCTACCTTTCTCTCACTCAATAGATGTATCTGGTTTGGTACGGTACAGTACAATACGAGACGATGGAATGCAATGGGATGGATGGTAGAGGGCTGCCTGCGCCCAAAAGCGATGATTCCCCTTGTCCATAGGGACCTCGTGGCATACAACCGAAACGACTCCCGCTAGATAGCCGCCCCTTTCTATCTTTTTACAGCCTCGTGGACGGACTAAAGAAGGGAAGTTACAGAACGGGGCAGTGAAGGCTCGAGAAGTAGACAGCAAGCTTTTCTCAGCCCCCTATTCTATTATTATTTAAGCGCTAGCGCGCCCCTTTCGAGAAAGGGGGCGTAAGCACTTCACTCGCTAGGGGATGGGATTCATTCACTTGCATTCCTGCTAGCACTACAAAAAGCTCCGGTCTTAACGCCCCTACTACTGCTGTGCAGCCTTTCCTCGGGTTCGTAGAGTCGGGTTTCCCGTTTACCCACAACGGAGGACCCCACCAGACCAGGCAGGCGGCCACGGGTCATAACGCACTCTTCGCACAACAAATCCACTTTGAAGTTGACTTATCCGCTCGGCCAATCGTCGGAATGTGTACGATATACCATAAGGGCCCAATATCTCAATAGCACCTTTGTCTAAAGCTTCGAATGAGACTTCATATCCGAAACGCAGGAACGATCTGACTAGAAAGTCATTCAAAACTTGATCGAAGAACCAGCGTTTATTGAAGAAGCTATAGAGTCGATTACAAAAAGTACTTGTTTGAAAGGCTCGTTGGAATTGATCCGCTACGGGATTTACATTATACGCAACAGAAGCACCTGAAGTACTAAACAGAATAGGGATTAGTTTGGTAATGGTTGGAGCAGCAAACGCCGATTCGGCAAGAATCTCATTTTTTGGTAGTACGAAGGGGGAATTGGCCCAAAAATTGGATAGGGGTCAAGACGCAGTCGGGCGCCGGCGGCTGACTCAAGTGCCCCCCGAACCGCGCGAAATGGTCGCCTATTACACGGCTCACTAACTCTGCCTGGGGTGTGGGGCTACCTATTATTCATTCGTCGGCGGTCCGGCGCACCCCTACTCACTTAATGGATGCTGCTTAATTACGAAGGAAATTCATTCTTAATCTAGAGAGTTCCCTTTCGTTAAGCGCATCGAGCCAGGAGTGGACATCATCATCTGCAGACAAATCCAGATCCTGTTTCATCATTAGCTTAGCTAAAGTGGAATAGTATGACTGGCTTTCCGGAAAATGAGACGAAACCCGCTTTATCCATAACTTTTCTATCTTCGGCCACTGAAAACCGTACGGAAGCCTGACTTTGGGGTATAGGGAGAGATTCTCAAGATCTGCAACATCATACTCAACTTATTAACTGCCCGTTCAAGGCGACTGATCTTCTCCATCAGAGGATCGGACGGTTGTGGTGGGACGTATGGCTGAAGAAAAAGCATCCACCTGATCAATCTGGGTTTAGCATCAGGCTTCTTCAACAGGAATCTCAAAGCTGCATGGTCAGAAAACACAGTAATTTTGGAGCCAAGCAAATATGAACGAAATTTATCTTACTTGAAACACATGATGTGTTAGATGTTAAAAAACACCACTATTTTGTGTTTTTAATCCCTCTTCTCGAGCCATGGTTCTAAATTTGAACCCATTAATGTTATATGTAGTAAATTTTCCTGCATTATCCAAAGGTCCTTATGCTAGAAACTTTAGATCAGTAGACATTTCACTCATTATGTCTAGATTCATAATCTAAAAAAATTGGAAGTCAAAGTTTAAAACAAATATCGTAAAAAAAATATCTAACCACTAAATGACTACTCACCCACTTTCTAAACCAATCAACAAACTCTTTATTGAGTTTCTTCTCTATCTCTGTATATGAAAGTCTTCTTCCTTTTAAACTCTTTTTAATGAATCATCTAAATTCACACCATAAATATTTATTATAATCAATGCACATTACTATTATATTTTAAGTAGACTAATAATAAAAGTTTATCTCATTTTACTTACTCTACAAATGGTGTGACTATTGTGCAATTAAGGAGCACATACCGATGAGCTTGTAATTTTTGCATTAGAGTTAAAGTGAACATTGAGCAAACTCCTATCGGTTTACCAATTTGTGGGAAGATAAAAGACACACAAAAGAAGTTTCATTATCAATTGGATCATCACAAACATTTTTAGGCTTATTGAACCTTGTCTCAATATCTTCAATGTACCGACAACAAAAGATAAGGGACTTTTAAGCTAAATACCCCTCAACTATGGATCTTTCAGGTTGTGCCTTGTTTTGCACAAAAGATTTTAAGTGACCTAATTCCCTACATAAATGATTAACAATTAGAGAGCACTAGTATAATATTTGTAATATGACAACATAAGTTTAAGCTATTAAAATATTTACCTCTCCACTGGATATATATATATATATATATATATATATATATTGGGCCTCCAAGTTTTGCTTCCTCTATAAGATGAAAAATTAAATGAAGCATAATTGTTAAAAATGAAGGAGGGAATAACATTTCTTAGTGGCATAGTGTAACCACAATGCAATCTTGGAGCAATTGAAGTTCTAGAAGATTTAAGCTTTTACCACAAAGTAATCTAAAAAAAAGAACAGAATACTCTACTAAGACAAAAGTCACATGGTCTGGCAACAAGTTTCAAATCGCTAGTGGTAGCAATTGTTCCATAATAATATGGCAATCATGACTTTTCAATCCAGATATTTTGTTAAGTTTGTCATCAATACATCTGGAAATGTTACTTGTAGGGATGGCAACGGGGCGGGGCGGGTACGGGTTTCATGATACCCGTCCCCGTCCCCGCGAGCTAAACTCATCCTCGTCCCTGTACCCGTACTCGTCGGGTATGTGATTTTCATCCCCATCCCCGTCCCCGTCGGGTATCGGGTATACCCGTACCCGTACCCGTACCCGTCAAAATTTTTATTTTTTATTTTTATTTTTAAATATAATATTTTTAAATTATTTTTTTAATTATATTATAATTATAATTATGTTATTTCTTTATCTCATATTATAATAAATAATCACACATAAAAAAATATTAAAATTCTTTAATATAATTAAATTGAAAGTGAGTATTAAATTAAAAATGGGAACGGGGACGGGTACGGGTACGGGGCGGGTAAGTACATACCCGTACCCGATTTAATATATCGGGTTTTACCCGTACCCGTACCCGTACTCGGTCAAACCGGGTATTCCCCGTCAAAGTTGGGATGGGTTCGGGTATTACCCGCGGGTACGGGTATATTTGTCATTCCTAGTTACTTGAGTAACTATTTGGTACTGTAATAATCTTCAAAGTTTCCAAAAATAAATTTTTGGTATCGCGTGTTAGTGAAAATAAAGCAAGGTGATATCTTCTATTATCATCTGGCCAAAGATCATGCCTTAAGCCCAATTATTTTAAATCTTTTCGAGCATTAAGTTGTCTTTTGATTTATCCTTCTAATGGAGCAATGTATACATGACATTTTCACATACAGTTTTCTCAAATGCATAAAATCTAGATTATATATGTCACAAAAATTTAGACTCCTAATATAGAGGTTCAAAGAATATGCCTTTTTTATTCCACTATGTGGGTTCTTTTCTAGATCTTTTTATTGTTCCATTTTGAATGGCCCCACTTCCAAATGTAATATTAATATGTTCCACTTGTCAAAAATTATCAGATCCAGATAATTTTAATGGTGGGTTTCGTTCTTTCGTGTTTCCATCAAAATGAACATGATTCAATCTAAATTTATGATTTCTTCTTAGAAAATGACGGTGGCCCATAAAACACCACTTTTTACAATTTTGAAGGCAACAAGGTTCCGCATTAAAATTGCAAGTTGGGTAAGCCAATCCTCTGTGTGTGTTCCAACCAGATAACATGCTTAAGCTAGGAAAGTTACTAATCTTCCACATAAAAGTTGATCACTTTCTTAACTTTTCATTCAATGATGAGTGATAGGTGTCCACACCATTCCCTAACTCATGTAACTCCTCTACAAGGGGATTTAGGTACACATCTATTTTATTTCCAAGACCTTGCTTTCTTGGAATGATCATTGATAGGATGAACGAAGTGTGGTTTATACATATCCAAGGTGGAAGATTATATGGAATTAAGAACACTGGCCAAATGCTATAGGAAAAACTCAAGGTCCTTGCAGGATTAAAACCATCAGTAACAAGGCCTAAGTGAATATTCTGAGGATTTGAAGAGAACTCAGGATGGATTAAATCAATTGTCTTCCATGCCTCTCCATCTCTTGGATGCCTTATCAACTCATCTTTATTACTTTCCAAAACATGCCATCTCATATCTTTTGTAGTCTTACAACATGTGAACAATCTTTGCAATCTTGGTTTCAATAGAAAGTAACGTAAAACCTTCGCAACTATTTTTTTTTCTTCTTCTTGGGTTTTCATTTAAATTTACCACAATGCTTACAAGCATCCAAACTTTTTTTCATTATCTCCCAAATACAACATGCAATGTTTTGGACAAGCATCAATATTTTTATAGTTAAGATCAAGTTTGTTAATAATTTTCTTGGCGTCATAAACAGAAGGAGGAAACTTTGCTTCTACAAATGCGTCTTTCAACAAATCCAATATCATAGCCATTTCCTTGTCACTTAATCCACACAAAAATTTTATATGATATAATTTGATTTTAAATTCTAGTTTTGTGTATTTGCTTCCTTCATACAATGTTTTGACTCCCATCATTTAGAAGCTCATAAAAGCCATTATAATCCTCCCTTGGCTCATAATTTAATATTTCATTTTCGTTTAATAGTCGTGATGCACCTATATTAGAGACATGTTGCCTATATTGCTCAAATGCATCATTCATCATTGTTTCCATTGGATTTTGAGGTTTAACACCACTATCTTGGAAAACATCTTCCATTTGAGAAGATTCCAATGCTTCCTTTTCACCATGAAGATCCCATATAACAGTTTTGAGGAAATGGTTTATAAAGTAAGTGATCCTCAACTATGTCTCTAGTTTTCCATTAGATAAACCCACATTTTGGACACGGGCTTCGAATCGTATCTCTTACAACTCCATTCTTTAAAGCAAAATCTAAGAATTTACTCAACTTAATGGAGTAATCAATTAAATTTTGGGACTTTGAAATCCATGACTTATCCATTATTAAGGATACCTAAACAATTTTATACGAATAATTTATCAAGCTATGCTAATATAAAATAGTATAATCTACATAAAATAAAGCAAGACCTCCACAAAATTTTAATATAAATTATATGTAAAAAAATATAATAATTGTTGAAACTAAGAAAAATAATGGGTGGGAGGAGAAGCATAACCTAAGATTCAATACTAGCTTTTATGTTAGAGCTACTACCATGTGATAGAATAAGAATTGGGTATTTCGAATAAGAACTACTGGAACCAATAAAAAAGTTACCTCTAAATGCAACAATATATAGGGTAATTAAAATAAGAACCAATGGAACTAGTAATGTACCAAAAATGCAACAATATAAGTCTAATAATGGAATAAAGCTGCCAAAAACCAAGGATATAATTAGAACCAAATGAATTTTAAAAAATATAACTAAACATTGATCTTTGATATCAAAATAGAGCAAGTTTAAGACCCTGTCTAAGAAATGTAACAATATAAGTCTATGAGGATGACAAATGTATAAAAGGAATATATAATGAAAATACACTCACATATGCGGTGACAAACTTGTAAATTAGTAGAAACTTTAAGCACATTTACATCGGTTCTATGAAAAACCGATGTAAACATGAAGTATTCTACATCGGGTTTCCTTTTAACCAATATAGAATAGTTGAGCAATTTATCTCCTTTCCACGCGCGCTGTACAGTACCTTTAGTGCCTCTGCAAACTTTCGCACACGCTCATCTCCACTGGAAGCATAGTACCTTTAGGGTGGCGACGGTGGTGCTTCACCTTCTACCTTCCCCTCATCTCGTAAGTCTTTTAGATCTATCGATGCATCGAGAAACTCCCCTTGTCACTCTTCATCGTGCTTCGCTCAGCTTTATTTATTTATTATTTATTGCCTATTAGGTTACGAGTTCGCAAATAAACTCTAAATCCTGCCACTTCTTTTCGTCCTCTTCCTTCACCGGGAATCGGCTAAAACCTACCATCGGTGAGTGCCGCCCAACCACTTCCGCTTCCTGATCTGTAATGTAGGGTTTCAATTCCAAAAGGAAATTGTTCTTTTCTGCTTCACTCTTTTTTTTTTCATTCTTAATATCATTGTTTAAACGAGTTGTTTGGTGCCTGTTGTCTGATTCTAGAGTTTGTTGCTGTGGTGCGTTTGAATCGGCGTCGACTCCAGGCACCCTCTCTTGCTCACGTTGCTCCAGATGGTGAGGACCACCAGCACGATGATCTTTTGGAGCGTGTCGGCGGCGATGAAGTGCAAGTTCATATGGTAGGGGTTGTTGGAGGCGATGAAGTGGAAGGAGAGGAGAAGGACCGCAAACAGGGCAACGAAACAGTTTATGCCTGAGCATTGGTCCGGCGAGAAGATTTTCCACCATTTTATTAATCAATATCTCTTCCATTCTCTTGCAATATAACCTTGCTACTTTGTTGGAATGGGATTACAACATGTAAATGAAGAACGGTTCTTTTCTCCTCTCGTTTTTCATAATCTAACTCCAACTACATCTAACTCTGTTGTGCTGAGGAGACTCATGAACATATAGAAAAACTGATTTCTATTTGAAAAAAAAATGTAATTATAGTTTGAAGATTGTATATGTTGAAAACCTCTTTTGTGAACCACAGATTCATTTTTAGATTATGTGTGTAAAAAGTGTAACAGAACTATCCAATTGATCCTGACCCCTTGCGTTTTCCCTGAAATTTGAATTTGTTCTAGGTTAGAGTCTGTAGGGAGAAGACAAGTGGTCATGTATATACAATGAAGAAGCTTAAAAAATCATAGATGCTTCGCAGAGGCCAGGTTTACAACATTGATCTGGCTAAATTTTGTTATTCTGGTTATTAGTAGTTTAAGTGCGTATGGTGAATAAGGCCATCATACTTAATCCCATTTGTTAATTTTTTCAGGTTGAGCATGTTAAAGCTGAAAGGAATCTCCTTGCAGTGGTTGACAGCAATTGCATTGTCAAACTTTATTGTTCTTTTCAGGATGATGAATATTTGTATCTTATTATGGAGTACCTACCGGGTGGGGATATGATGACTCTACTTATGAGAAAGGATACCTTGACTGAAGATGAAGCCAGATTTTATGTAGGAGAAACAATTCTGGCCATCGAATCTATACATAAACATAATTATATACATAGGTATTTACATGTTCATTTACTTTCAGAGTAGTCCTATTTCCTTAGTTATACCCAATACATTTAACTTCTTTTTGTAGGGTTAGCTTCTAATTGAGTCTGGTATAACTTTGAGCTAATTTCCAGAATATCTGTTATATTTGTGAAGCTTATTGTGAGCTAATTTCCAAAATATCTGTTATAATTGTGAAGCTTATCTATTATAACTTTGAGTCTATTATTTGCTTCTGCCTTTTTTTTATTCCACTTGATTTTGAAAAATCAATCTTTTAGTAATTGAAACAGGGCCATGGCTTCCGAAAGGACCTTTTCCAAATGGTGGCAGATTTGAAACCAAAATTTCTCAGATTTCTAGGCATGTCAAAATTCTAAGTCTTCAAATTGAGGTTTGCATGACCCAACTCACTATTCTATTATTGATATATGCTACCTAGCTGCATGATTAGGACCTGTTTCAATTATAATTACAATCAATTTCTTGCAATATTGTGTTACAATTTTTATGCTATTATGTTCTCACTCAATTTTATTTGTTATGATTGTACACACAATTGTAAAACTTGATGCGGTGTTTTCCTTATATGTGGTGGTGTTTAAAGTCATATAATAATAAATTGTACATGTCAAACCCCTCTCCACCCACCCAACCCAAAATAAATAAATAAAGCATAAATGGCTGCATTTAACTATTGAGGTTATTTGTATGGATAGTGTTCCTCATGTGTTTAAGATAGTGTTCTTTTACATCTTGTGTGTGCTTGTAATTTTTAAATGTATAATCATTGCACGCTTATTCCACGATTGGTACACCAGATTATATTGCTCCAGAAGTTCTTTTAAAGAAAGGTTATGCGATGGAATGTGATTGGTGAGTTTTATGCGTGTAAATGTTAGCATATTATCAAATATCGATTTGTCTTTGCCATAGTGTATGTATATCATAGGATCCAATTTATCTTTTCATTCATTTATAGTGATCCTTTCAATAATTTTCAAGTTTCAACACAGTTTGGCATTCAAATTTCTTACTTCCATTCTTGGGATGCAATTTGGGGTGTTTTCCTTTATTATTATTATTATTATTATTATTATTATTATTATTATTATTTTTTCCCTTTCAAATGTTCTGAAAACATATTGGATTTTGCTTAATTTATGTGGAGTATGTGAATATATAAGATCAGGGTTACATATTTTATTTTTAATGCAATGATTGTTACAAAATTCCCAGGTGGTCACTCGGAGCTATTATGTACGAAATGTTGGTGGGATATCCACATTTTTATTCTGATGATCCGATGTTAACTTGTAGGAAGGTAATCTTTCTAATAGAAATGTTTCTTGTGACTAATGCTTGGTTGATATCCACTTTTGTTATTATGATAAATCTCTGCAGGACACTCTTAAAATTTATTTTGACTTTTGCTTTGCATTTATTTTGAACTTTTAGCTATAAGCTACTTTTCTGTCTGTCTGTCTGTCTCTCTTTTTGTAGTTTCTATCAAAGTCTATTTTCTAGTATCAAATTGCTTGCTATGTTGCTTACCCTCATTTGGTTCATGTCTTTGGACTGATTTACTTGTTACTGGTCTGAAGGATTTTTGTGAGATCAAATACTGGATCCCTGATAAATAGAGTATTCTCACAAAAATAATCATGATTTTTTTTATAAAAAAAATGAAATCTACATCGGTTCTAAAAAAAACGATGTAGATTTAAGCATAAATCTACATCGATTTTTCAGAACCGATGTAAAAATGTATACATTTTCTACGTCGCTCTATTCTACATCGGTTTTAGAACCGATGTATATGCCTTTAGAGAACCGATGTAGAATATGCATCTTGTAGTAGTGTTAATGTCTTAACTATCATAACTAAATGATTTTCCTTATATATATATATATATATATATATTCTAAATTTCTAGATTTATACTCAATAATTTAAAGAATTGTTGGTTTCTTTTGTGTGCATTCTACTAATAAAAGGAATGATGTTAGAAGAAGAGAACAATCATTTTAAAGGAAAATGGTGAGAAACATAAAATATTTAAAAGTAAAAACATAATTGAAAAGCTAATAAACATTATGATAGATAGATAATATACATTTTCCTTAATCAATCCTCCAAATTACAAAAAAATAATTAAAAAAGAGTCTTATTATTTTAACTTTGAAAGTTTTTAATACTTTTTTCTTCTTCTTTTAAGTAATTTTAACTTAGAAAACACTTGATGCTTACCTCAATGAACGTCAATGTGCCTCTAATAATATATATGAATTTTCTCAATTACTCTTGCACACTTATGTATATGCACAATTACTTAAAATCTTTGGACATTTTAAATTATATATTACATGGGATGAATAAAATCATGTATTTTTATATTATGCTTCATCTTTAATTTGGTATTTTTTGCATTTTCTCAAAATGCATAGGACCAACAATACATGTTGCAGTAAAGAAAGAAGATACACTACAATTACTAATGAAATCAAAAGTAAAGGAGCCACATGATGAGTGAATATTGATATGACGTGATAGAAAATAGGAAGCAATGAATCTTATTTTATTAATACTGGATTCCTAATCCAAGTTAAATTAAACATGGAAACAAATAAAAAATATATATACTCCTTTTACGAACCTACAAAGGAAACAGAGAAAGAGAAGAACTATTTTATTGCTTGATTGAAAATAAACATTACAAGATAAAGATTTTTCCTTACAAAGGTTTCATTTTTTCACAATTGAACCACTACTATGTTTTCCCAAACTAACAAATCTGTATGTTTTTACTTTCTAATTCTATTTCCTAGGATCTGTTTCCTATAAATATTGTTGTTGGAAACTACATCAACAACATGTTTGAAGAAAGGTACATATTTAAGTGTTATTAAAAGCATCATGTATTTTTAATCATCATTAAAATTCAATTTATTATAATTATTCTTTCATGTAAGTGACTAGACACCATTAAGATGATTCATATTATGTTAAATAACACCAACCCTTTTCATTATAAAGGAGAATAACAAATAATAAATATAAAATCCAAAGTAATTTCTAATTATAATTGACTGACTTAGACTCTAATTAACATGATAAAATATCCACCTTTAACTTCAAATTCCAAGTGATCGTTTAAATTCCCATTTTGAATAGTTACTAACTAAAGTAATGGCTATTAGTGATCATGGATACTTTTTTGAATGGGGAAGGAAAAATACTGGAAAGACAACATGGCATAACAGATGACTAATTTGAAAGAAGAATCATGAAAATAAAATATAGCTATGAATTTTAGGAAGCTATACATTGATAAGAGATAAGTCACATATTAATAATAATGACTAGTTTGATAGAAGAATCATTGAAATTAAGTAAAAATCAGAATTTAGGAAGCTCTGTTGTATAGTAGTGATATGAGACCAATCATGAAGGAAAATCTCTCCTTGATGCCATGTTCAAATTATGGGGGGTTTAGGTATTGAGGGAAGAGATTGAGCAAACAAAGACTTTAAATAAATTTTTTTTTTCAATTAGGAAGCAAAGAATCTATTTATTATTAGATGCTCTAAATTTTGAATCATGCTAAGATTGATTAAGATATCAATAGTAGAAGTCATTTCTTTTAGCTATCATACAACTATTGCTAAAATGTACACTTTATTATAATTAATCCATAAAGAGACCAAGGAATATGTATGAGTTGAATTTCTTTCTAGATTATTGATTACTTTATCAAATGGCTTTTTCTTGTTGATTAACACAACAACAGAAAATTAAGAAATGCTTAATACTCCACTGGACATTTAGAAATACTTCGGATGAGCATGCTAATTTAGTTCATTACATTTTAGTCAAAAAAATGAATTTTCAAGTAATTTTAGTGTACCAAAGGATATATAGACAATCAACCACATAACAACTTTAGTCCACCTTGTTTTCTCCCACCATGAAATAATACTAGGAATCAAAGCATAACACATGGACAACTAGATATAAGATTTAGGTTGTATATATTTTTAAAAGTCCTTAATCTTAATATAAAATTTGTGTTTGTAATTAATTTAACCACATCTCAATCATTTTCAATAGTTTAAATTGATTCTATCAAATTCAATTTCCAAAGAAGAAAGACCTTGCACCAACCCCTAAGTTCGATTTTGAAGATAATGTGATGTTATTTTCTAAACATCCCCAAGGTGACCAAGATAACAACTTGAAAATTATTTATAGATGCATTAGGAACTTTTTTAAATTATTATACACATAAATTTACAAGTCGTATAAAAAATATACTAAAAGGTCTTAGCCAACTTCTAGTTTAAGAAAGTAGAACCATAACATTTAGTTGTGCTATTCAATGAATTCATGTTCATAATAATGAAAGCTTGGACCCCAAAAAAATATTAACTAAAACAAAATAGGAAAAGACTAAAATAAAAGCCCAAACAGTGGCTGAGAATAGAAAATGGAAAAAGAATTATAAAGAATGCAACAAACCTAAACATTAATGAATGGGAGGAAGTAAATCAATGAACCAATGTATTAAGGTCCACCTTGTTTTCTTCCACCATAAAAAGCAAAATCTTCTTTTGGTTTATTTTTGGACAACATTTAATCTAACTCCTTTCTCTTAGTATAAATAGATATCAATGCTTTTATATTTTCTATGCACCACCTCAATATAATCTTGTTAATCTAACTCCTTTCTTTGTCTTTGTCCATACCTAAATCTTTTTTATTTAAAGTGACATGCCCATAACTAAAATAACACAGGTTTTGTACAAGAATTAATGGGGATTTTTTTTTTCTTTTCTCGCTAGTTACAACTATCAATGCCTAGGATAGTAGAACAAAAATGACAAAAATCCAGGATATCAATGCCCACATAGTGGAACAAAAAAAAAAGAAGCCTTGCAATTGATAGCTAGCATTAACAACGAGAAACACTATGGTGATGTATGCAAGTAAGAGCATAATAGTGACAGGAACTCAGGAGAGCACTACGATAACAAGAACTCGGGAGAACGCTATGACAATGGGAAATGAGAGCACTATAGATGAATAAGCACTATAGCAATAACAACTTGGAAGAACACGACAACGACGACTAAAAAGAGCACGATGACAACGATAAACGAATGGTTTTGGAATTTCTTTAGGGAGAGACAACGTGGACAACTAGGTTTAGGGATTTCTTTTGGAAACTCATGAGAGAAAGGAAAGTGAATGATTTTGAGTTTTTTTTATAGAAATTTGAGAGGGAAACATTAATTTACTATCTTTTGTTCTATTTTAGAGGAAAAAAAAAAGATTTAAGTGAGAAAATAAAATTTTAATTAGAAGAGGTTATAAACCTCCATAGATTAAGTAAAAAACTATT